GGTTATTATTATTTCAAGGCTGTAACCTGCGCACAGCCAGTTGTAGCGTAGTCATCAGCCATTCAGGCTGTTACTATAAAGTTTACTCATTACTGTTACTGCACCAGCTACTGCAATCTTATTGCTATTTTAAGTGCTCACCCTGCCGTGACTCAGTTCACGCGGCAGTTGTTATACCTATACATTCTTCTACATATAATTATATTTTTCCCATTCAGTGACTTACTTTCAAGTGCCAGTAAATACTTTTTGATTACATCATTTATAATAATTATTTATTGTGGTACCTATCGAACAGTGGCTCAGACCCTACTACCGGTTGAATTATAATTTACTGATAGTTTTCAGTTAACACGTTATTATGATCATTTACCGTTAACAATCTGAAAAGATATTTTCCTCTTCTTTATTAATGAAAATGTTATAAAAAAATGATTACTTTGTAATTGTAAGTATAACACTACTGATTTGTATAAAATACTGGACCTGTACACTACAGGGGTGTCGACTTGCTGAGACTCAATACTAACTCGATATAGTTCTAAGTACATTAGGAGACAACATTATCGACCATACAAATTGACCCCACACAACAAAAGGAAGTTTTGTAAATGTATGTGTTTTCAGTTTGTACGTAAAGAAATAGAAATAATCATGCTAGGTCACGGCATTGTTTGTTTATGTTGTGTTACATGTCGCATACATGAGTTCCATGACAATTGATCTCAGACAAAATATCTCAGACGAAATATCTCACGGACTAATGATCTCAGGACAAATGAGAGTTAACCTTGGTATTTTATTATTAACTACAGCATAGATAACACGTCTGGCTCTATCTGTAGTTGACTGCCTCACAGGTACACACCAGCTAGGCCCACACTGATTATACAAGGGGCGTAACTATAATATGTTAAACTATATTTTCTATATTTAACAACAAAATATTTCATCAAAGAACTCTCATCTGGATGAAAGTGATGTGTATAAAGCTCTGTAAAAGAGGTGACATGAACCCATGTAATACCCTACACGACTTACTTATTCGCTGATGTGTCGAACTACTGGTTTTATTGGATTCTCCATTGATGTTTACTACACGTTTATTATGTTAAATATATTTCTACTTGAACACAATTATATTTTAATTATATTTTAACGGATGTTTTATTTTAAATCGATTACATCCAGCTTTTTTGTCAAGTATATGTTACATCTTCGGCCAAATGAGTTCGACACGTCATCTTACACATCGATGACTACTTCACATAAAAATTCTCTACTTAATACAACACCCATCACACAAAACAACAGCAACACACGAACAAAACACAACACACAGATAATAAAATACGCTAATATAGTAAAATAACTCACTTTAATAATTTACAGAATGAAATGTAATGCATGCGATAAAATTATCCTTGTAAAACGTGTTCTCTTGTTTACCAATGTTCTATTTAGGCAGATGTGAGAGTTTCAAATGTGTAACTGGTCATTAGTTGCTGTAGTTTGCTATAACTGGTGAATAAATTTTGTAGGGCGTAACAACACCATCTGGACCCTAATTCTTAGCTACCAGACAAACATTGTAACAATTACACAATTTTTTTAATGAACTAAATATTATTATGGTATTAACAGCAGTGTTAAATTGTTATGTGAGCTAAGTATTGATAGGAAATAGGCGGTTCCCTCACCCCCCACCCACCCCCACACACACATACACAATAAATATTCTTTATTTACATTATTGTAATTATATTTTACTTGAATCCAGAAATTAGTTTAATAAAAAGAATTTCATTTCCACTCAACGAATAATCGTAATGTGTTTTGTATTGGTAGTAAAGGTGTTATGTGTCGTTTTTAATGTTATTTAAATATGAGAAGTCGATTAACTCGTTTTTAAGAAAAAAAGTGTGAGAATTTACGGGTAGTGACAAATAACCACAATGAAACTATATGTATGTTAGATGTATCTGTAGATACGAGGTGAACGCATTTACTGTATGATATCATCATTAGGTAGTTCACCAATTAAATTCTATTGTCATAATACCGTAGACGAGTTGCAGGAACTAATATTTTTACTTTCTCGTATATACGAAGTATAGAGAAAGTTTTGTAATGGTGCAAAAAAAAAAAAAAAATCGAGATTTTTGCTAATCTCGACGTTTTCCATCTCACTGATACGGAAAAATATAATTTTGCAAACTTGTCCGTATGTCTGTGTGTCTGTCTGTGTGTGTGTGTCCGTGTGTAAACACGATAACTTGAGTACCGTTACAGCTAGGTTGATGAAATTTCATATATAAGTATTTTATCAAAATCATAGATCAGTATCAACTTTTGAGCGATTTCCGATAACCGGAATTGGTACTTTTTCTACTTTGAATTTTTCAAAAGCCTATAACTTGAGAACTATTTCAGATAGATAAATGAAATTTGATATGTAAGTAAAAGATCTAATTCTCTACCTTCTGTCAAATTTTGAGTAATTTCCGTTGAACGGAAGTACTTATTTACGCTAATTCCTATTTCTCAAAAAACGCATGTAAATTTATAAAGTACTAATAATATTGCGCACTATTATGCACCTTTATTTAGCGTTCACTTGGTGTGCATTTCTTTTTTCTACGAGATTATATTCTATTTTTAAAAAAATTGAGTTTTTAAAATGGATTAAAAAACATGTCTAGAAGTCTATATCCCGAGTTGCCATCCCCGTAGTGTTATATTAGAATATTCGAGAAAGTTTAGGGGAGATCACTCCCGGTTTATTTTCTTTAAATTAGTTTGTTAATTAGATAAATATGTCATGCTGTTGCAAATGGTTCGTAATGAAGTTCGCAATAAAACAGCTTCAGAATTACTTGGAGGGAAAAATATAAAGAAAACTGCCTAAAAGTTAAAGGTTGAAACATGTAGGCCTATAAATCAAGTAGATTTTCTCTTATGTTTTATGTTATTGTTATGTTCTCTTTTTCCTTACACTTTTTTACTTTCTCGTATATACGTAGTATAGAGAAAGTCTTGTAATCGTGCAAAAAAACACCTCACTGATACGGAAAAACATAATTTTGCAATCTTGTCCCTATGTCTGTGTGTCTGTCTGTGTGTGTGTGTGTGTGTGTGTGTCCGTGTGTAAACACGATAACTTGAGTACCGTTACAGCTAGTTTGATGAAATTTCATATATAAGTATTTTATCAAAATCGTAGATCCGTATTATCAACTTTTCAGCGATTTCCGATAACCGGAAGTGGTACTTTTCCTACTTTGAATTTTTCAAAAGCCTATAACTTGAGTACTATTTTAGATAGATAAATGAAATTTCAAATGTAAGTAAAAGATCTAATTCTCTACCTTCTGTTAAATTTTGAGTAATTTCCGTTGACGGGAAGTACTAATTTACGTTATTTCCGATTTCTCAAAAACGCATCTAAATTTATAAAGTACTAATAATATTGCGCACTTGGTGTTCACTTGGTGTGCAATTAATTTGTCTACGAGATTTTATTCTATTTTTAAAACTTTAAGTATTTAAAATGGATTAAAAATCATGTCTTTAGCCCGAGTTCCGATCCCCTGTTATTTTATATAAGAATATTCGAGAAACTTTAGGGGAGATCACTGCCGGTTTATTCCGTTCACAATTACGCAAAGCCGGTGTTGAAAAACTCATCTCGCATTTAAATAGAGTGTTTAAATGGTTGTGTACTTTTCAGCAATGTTTTGCATTTAGAACTACTTTCATTTACTGTGAAATTAGTAACTAAAGTTTAGTAAAGTTCCCTTTTAAACCTGACGGTCTATGGGGCAAGTGAAGTAGAGTTCACTTGTTACTGTGAAATTAGTTTCTGTAATTCGTGAAGTAAAAATAGTGCATTTAAAAAAAAATTAAATATGTGCTACACATTTTACAATTGCGGCGACTTTTCGCTTCACTACATTTATATTTTGAATTCTTCTAAAATCTTGAATGACATTTATTTAAACAGTTAAAAAAAGTCATGAAAAATAAATTATGGCTGTAGGCCTACTATATTGAAAAATTGTAAACAGTTCAGCAGATATTAAGTATATATTTATAATTTATTTTATTTGATAACCAGAATAACGAAGATAAAAATAAAAAAAAAAAGGTTACATTCCATTTTACTCAGTAAAATAATTTAAAACATTGGTTTACATTTTCTTATATATTCCTAGTAACTCTAAACAAAAGATACCAAACAAATTAATTTATTTCTTGCCTCACCAAAATACCAAGTTGCTGTTGAAGTCTTGACGCGAAATATTTTATTAAATGGAACTGTTGTTTTCTTTGTTAACACTGGACAAGAGAAGACAACCAACAGTTGCAGATGGATCACAACCACTCTCCACTATAATTTCCTTCAGAGTTTGATCCACTGTGGGGACGTTGACGCCACCAACCGAGATATCGCGGCCTGTAAACAAGCACACCGCTGGTTCCTGTATATGTACATGTTGTGTAAATGTACTTGGTGTAAAATCCGCACCTCTCATGTCTGTGTGTCCATTGTCCTACAGAGACATGTTTAGGACAGCCATGAGGATGTGACACTATAACGGTCATCTTGTCCATATCATCATGTGTCCAGAATTTGTCCCATACTTTAACACAAAGTTCACCAAAATTTAGGCATTTCTTGTCCAGTTCATCATTAAACTCTAAGTCACATGACGCACATATAAAAACACACCTGTCCCCTTCAATGTTTTCCATCTTCCTCGGAACCTCCCAGCCATCAAGACTGACCCCAGGACTTTTATTGTCATCAAAACCTACAACACACCTGGTCTGTCTCGCCTCACTCTCATCAAACACCACATGTCTGGCTGTCCACACACGAACCTCCCCCCACACTTTGCTGGGTGTGTCCGAGTGTTGACAATTGCCACATGGACAAGTGCCCTTGTTGTCACTCTCTGTGTACTTGACCACATGACACACCCTCCCCGTCCCTGTCCTCAACACGTCACTTCCTCTGGTGTTATAAAATGGATACGACCACTGAAGCATGGAGCAGACTTTGGTCTCTCTAGACTGGTGTACTTGACCTTTATCATGACCGTTAGGGCAGACAACGCTTTGATTACCTCCAACATGATGACGTCACGGTAACGTGAGGGGAGATGATCCAAGTTAAAATCTTTAACAGGTATAAAGTTGACATGACCTGGATTCTTCTTACAGCGGGTATAGTGCTTGTGTAAGTCAGCTTCACCTCCATAGCAGATCTCGGCTTCATGATGTCCTGGAGAGGTACAAGGGAAGAAAGTTCACAGCATTAACATTTAATCTAGAATAAAACGATTCAAAGTATAACATATTAATTTTTTTTATTTTCTTAACCGCAGCTGACATTTTCCATTATTACATTTTATGTACACGTTTCATATAAACAGAAACTAACCTGGAATGAAACCTTCTTTAGTTTCAATTTCCTCCATCTTTGTTGGCAGATCTTGGTAATATGTTTCTCCTATGTACTTAAATGCATATAATTGGCAGTTTAAGGTTTTAGAGCAACTTTTGATATTTGAAATAATTTAAACCTTCATGAACAGTTACAGACATAAAAACTATACTTAATGTTTAGCAGTAAATATAAAACTGCTGGTGCTGTTATGCCTAAAATGTCTTTAGCTAATTTACAATGCTTTATGTAACAAAAAACTGATTTTACCTTGAAGTCACAAAAAAGTGATTTTATTTTGAAGTGACAACTTTATTTCTTTTTTGAACTCTAAATTAAGTTTAATAAAGCATCATTCTTTCTGTAAGTGCTGTTTGAAAAAGTACGTAAGTACAAATTAGAGCAATGTAGGTCTTTTGTGAAAACATTAATCGAATATTTATGCTTAGAGTTAAAGTGAAGAGATTATAACTAGTGTAGACACATGATTTACAGGACAATAGTGAATGCAATTATGTTTGCGTGATTATTAATTAGTGGATACAATTCTAAGGCAAGAAAGCAACCTTGACCATTAGTTCACCTTCGTTGATAAGTTGGTCTAGTGTGTAGAATGTTCTTAATCTTGTTATCTCTTTTTATTGGTAATCTTTTATTAAATTCTTATTACTAATCTAGCTTATAATTACATCGATGATTAAATATGTTTACATTGTCAACTGAGATAAAAAATCCTTGCTTTGGATATGAATTAAAATTGAATTAAGACTTGCCAGAAACCGACAAATCCACAGAGAAGCAAAACAATTAACAGGCGTCCATTTAAATTAAACAAAAAAATGTAGGCATAATATTATGATTAGCAAACACATTACTTCAAGTAACTTTGACCTAACAAATAGCTTAACTCACCTGGTAAGATTGATTCAAGTAAAATAAATGAACATAATACAATTACTAACTTTAAAACATCATAGCTGGAGTAGTGTATGAGAAAATTTTAAACAGCAGAAGTTAATCAACTAGTGAAAGTAAATATAACACACACACTTATGATCATTTATGGTTGGCATATGTTGCTGTGTTAGCCAGATCTTTGCCAAAACTTTATGTAAAGTTTAACGGGAATTTTTTTAACTTGCTTAATTTAGAGAAGGGCCTACTTAACGCTCTACAAGCCACTATTAAAGATTTGAAATCGATAAATCAATCTGGTAGGGTAAGTTACGGCCTAGCCTTAGACCTCCGTCAACTCTATTTTTTTATGGTCAGATTTATTACTTTCATTTTAAAATATGTTCTGCCAAAATCTTGCTATGTTGACCAGGAACATTTTCAAATTTAATTTAACAGGCTAAGATGCGAAAATAATCCGCATTACGATTGAGTATAAAAACATGTCAAGTTTTAGAATTATAAACCATTTCAACGTCAGTGAGCGAGTTCGACAAAAAGCACGGAAAAACATGAACAATTGCTCACACAGTCCTTCCTATGGTCAGGTAATCTACTTCCATACAAAGTTCATGGTGGATACAATTTAGATACGAAATACAAAAAGTACAGTCTGTTACAATAACATAGAAACATCACATATAAACATTCACATGCAAATTTCACATAAAAACATCTCGTATAACATCTCATATAACATCTGATGCTGGTATCGGGTTGGTCATACACAGTGATAATGTGAGTTGTGCGACATAATGTAATGTAAATAGTGTTTATTGAGATTACGTGACGCCTGTGTATATGTGATAGTGTACTGAGACAACGAGTTACATCTATATATTACTAAAACTCAAGTTTGTTTACATGTTTGATATATATTTTTTGTTTGTTTGTCTGATTGACTATTGTAAATGGATCTACGCTATATGCAGAACTGTAAAATAGAGAACAATTTTTGTTTTCAGACAGACTGTTAATTACAAATTTATTTAAAGACGTTAATTAATTTATTGATTTATTCATAGGTAGATTAACCACATTAATTTTAAAGTTTTAGAACAATGGCTTTCTTTGACTGAATAGTGACGTCACAAGTTTTGTTTACTTTTTAGTACAAAAACATGGCGGCTTCCATCATTGACTTTGTGGCCCATTCATAAGTTTAACGCGTTCTAAAGCTAATTTTCTGTCGGCTATGACTTTAACAATACATCACTTTGCTGTATTTATTAGGTTTCAACACTATGATCAAAGTTTTAACACTTCTTGTTATTTTATTATACAATACATGTCTCTAGATCTACAGATCAGCTGTCGAAGGAAGAAAAAGTTATGGATCTAGATCTAGATCTAGATCTAGGTCACTAGACTTTACGTAAATTCTAGATCTAGACTTAATGTAAATTCTACGTCTAGAATCTATTTCAGGCCTTAATTATTTTATATAAATCTTTGTTTAGCTTCAATGAACATCTAATTCGAGAAAACTTGGGATTTATCGATCTAGGTTCTAGATCTAGATATAGTAGGATTACTCGCTAACTTGGAGGCGTGGTCGGTTGCTAACAACAATGGCGTCCGGACCGGGTGTATGACTTCCGACCATTTTTAGGCTATGTTTACCATGAGCAAAATGGCGGGTTTTACGTTATAAAACCATGCTATAGGTGGCCAGGGATAGATATGCCAGAAAAGCATTTTAAAATTTGCAATGGAGAATGAAGACTAAATTTTGAAGTCGGTGTCATTAAAATTAATAGAACTTTTAAAAGGTCACCTGTGACGTCAGTATATGAAGGGATAGTGTGGTCAGTTCCCATGCTCAGCCGAAATCGGTGTTTTAAAAAGATAACATGTCTAACACTTGGCGGGACACTGGGCAGATGAAGTAGAGTTTAGTAGAGTTTTTAAAATATAAAAAAACGTCTTTTTGAATGTGGGGTCTGGTTATTTTGTGATGATAAGTGCTGACAGACGTGATGTCATTTATAGATGACCCCCCCCCCCCGAAACCCGGTTATCTAACTAGATAACGGGTAGTCTTTTTTTTTAAAATTATTTTGCAATTTGCGATTGATTGAAAGTGAACTTCTGAGCTTGAAATTGTTTTTATGTTGAATTGACCAAAGTCTTTTGGTTAAAAAAGGTCCAGGCAAGTATAATTTCCTTTTCTACATGACCAACCCATCTGTGTATGGGGAAGTCCCAAAAACATAGTCTCTAAATATAGCTCTAATGACACGCTAAACTAATCGATACAATAATCTTGAAGACTAGAAATAAGAGCTAAAGCACATTTGCAGCTATCCAGTTTTAGACAGAGGAGATCACGCTAGTATTAAAATGTTTAAGGGGTTGTTTCATTGATAGATATAAGTCTATTTATCGCTGTTGTATTTTGTCTGACAGTAACTGTATATGTAAATATTTAGATAACATGTAGGCCCCTATCATTATATATAAATATTTAGATAACATGTAGGCCCCTATCATTATAAAGAAATATTTAGATAACATGTAGTCCCCTATCATTATATATAAATATTTAGATAACATGTAGGCCCCTATCATTATATATAAATATTTAGATAACATGTAGGCCCCTATCATTATATATAAATATTTAGATAACATGTAGGCCCCTATCATTATATATAAATATTTAGATAACATGTAGGCCCCTATCATTACATATAAATATTTAGATAACATGTAGGCCCCTATCATTATAAATAAATATTTAGATAACATGTAGGCCCCTATCATTATATATAAATATTTAGATAACATGTAGGCCCCTATCATTATATATAAATATTTAGATAACATGTAGGCCCCTATCATTGGCGATATCCCTGGATAAGAAGATTGGGGAGTCGGTAAATGTTAAGTGGCGCCTCTACATGAGGAAATCGGTTCATGACTTGAACCCAGATTTGATCTCGTCACTTTTGAGTTAGTAGTCCAGCGACCTGCCGCTAGTCCACGCTGTCCCATGGTCTGGGATTAGTGGCTGTCACTATGTGAAGACCAAATTGTCAGCCCTGTGATTGTGGGTTCCTGAATACAAGAAGTTGGACTCCAGTTTGTATAACTAGATAATTTTATTTACACATTAGAAATATTATAAATCCATCATTGAAGGAGTGTACAACTACTGTTAGATCTCGGAGTTTTCCCTATTACATGGCTTGCTGTTCCCAGATGACGAGCCTCACCTGCCCGAGGCTTCGAACTCGGGACTTTCGAGTTAGCAGCCATGTGCTTACCCGCACGACTACTCCGAAGATTACATAAAGACCCTAACCTAAACCACATACATGGACTACAGATAGGCCAACTTTTTCTCTAAAACCCAAAAATTCAAGCACGAAATAAATAAATAAATTATTAAAAAAAATATCTTCTAAACAAATTTGAGCTCTTTGTGTGATGTGGTGTAGACTATAGGAAAGTTTTGAACTAGAAAATCTTGAAGATTTGTCTGCCCTACCTCTCACCACCAGACTACCAAGTGTTGTAGGTCCGTGATGTAGCCAGACATCCCAGCCTTCAGCCAGCTCTGTCTTGTTGTCATTTGTGGTGCTTGTGTTTGTAAACAAAAATTTAATGTAAACATTCCGTGTTTACGTTCGACTATCTGCTCTAATTTACTCACATTTTCAATTATTTCCCCTAAATGGTTGTACAGGCAACCAAAGTATTCAGATAAATATTTTATTCTAAAGCAAAAAAAATAAGTGATGTTTTTCATATGATTGACACAACATTTCTTGGAAAATTATAATAAAAAAATTGTTTGATGGAAAGAAATTTCAACATACATAGATTTAGTACTAAATACATTTAAAATGTAGTCAGACAAAATAGACATTTAATTATTTGCAAGGCGCGCGGCGTATCATACGCCGATATTTAGTTGTATTTTTTTCAACTTTTCAGTAAGTCGAAAGCAGCCTCCTCTTAGTTACCTCTCCTAAGGTTAAAATAGTTCCAAACTAAATTATCTGCCCCTAATAGCCGTCACTAAACCCGTCTCTACGATTGTAAACATTTAGCGTGAACCACAGCTCACCAGACCATGTTGGGGTGGGGGTGGTTGCGATATGCCTAGAAAGTAAGAGAGGGGACTGCAAGGCACGCTTACAGCTTGTTTTCTAACGTCTCCAAGAAGAATTATATATATATATATATATATATATATATATATATATATATATATATATAGATAGATAGATAGATAGATAGATAGATAGATAGATAGATAGATAGATAGATAGATAGATAGATAGATAGATAGATAGATAGATAGATAGATAGATAGATAGATAGATAGATAGATAGATAGATAGATAGATAGATAGATAGATAGATAGATAGATAGATAGATAGATAGATAGATAGATAGATAGATAGATATATTTAGCTATAAAACATCTGTATTTTGTTATGGATAAATTTACCGATTGGATGGCACAAAAGATAAAATACAAAAACGTTCTGTTTGTAATGACAAGTGTGAGATGTAATTCCATTTTCAGCATGAAGATACACTATTGTTAGACCAGAGGAACAATCAAACAAATGGCTTGATATCGTTTAATACACTGCTGTCTCAGGCATTTTGGTAGATGCTTTACTTTGATTGTTTAGTACATGGCTAACTTAGAACTAATAATGGCTAAATTAGACCGTCTAGTACATGACTTAGTGTAGTACATGACTTAGACCGTGTAGTAAATGAATTAGACCGTGTAGTACATAACTTACTTGGACAATTTGATAAATAATTGACTGTTTCTAAAAAAGCGAATAATATGCAATAATGTAACCAGCATATTTTAATAGTGTGACATAAAATCTGGAAGAAAAAATAATTTTATGTTGTGATGGAAGTTTAAGACCATCATGTGGAGATGTGGTGTAGCATAAACATAAACGGATAATGTATTCCACAGTGTAGTGGCCTTAGTGAACACTAGACAAAACAAAGAGACACAAACAAATTAGTCCTTAAGATTGATCGCGTATTTCATTGTTATTTCCCTTAGATCACAAAGATGTCGCCTAATACAATAAAGCTAGCTATATAAAAAATGTTGTTCAATCTTGTGACCACAATTTCTCCCAGGCATCGCTTTGAAAATTCCAATGCCCCCCCCCCTCCCTCCCTGTGCGATTTGTGGGACTGTCACAGACTTGAAATATCTAAAATACTTAGTAAATGAAGGCAATGGACAAACGTTGTGGGTGTTTTATTCTTGTGTCGTTAGTAGAATTTATTTATAATGAGTTGAAACGTTTTACACCAGCATTTTTGTATAAAGAATTCGTTAGCTATGTCTGAGGTAAAAAATTGCCAAACTTGTACAAACTTGACTGCCGACATTAAGTCTCAGCTACAAACTTGACTGCCGACATATAGTCTCAGCTACAAACTTGACTGCCGACATTAAGTCTCAGCTACTAACTTGACTGCCGACATTAAGTCTTAGCTACAAACTGGACTACCGACATTAAGTCTCAGCTACAAACTTGACTGCCGACATTAAGTCTCAACTACATACTTGACTGCCGACATTAAGTCTCAGCTACAAACTTGACTGCCGACATTAAGTCTCAGCTACAAACTTGACTGCCGACATAAAGTCTCAGCTACAAACTTGACTGCCGACATTAAGTCTCAGCTACAAACTTGATACCCAACATTAAGTCTCAGCTACAAACTTGACTGCCGACATTAATTCTCAGCTACAAACTTGACTGCCGACATTTCTCTTCACTACCATCGTGTTTTGTTTATCATTAACACAAAACAGATTATCAACGATAACAAAATAAATGAAAGAAACTTTGAAATCTTCTAAAACTTTATTGACATCCATACAAACAGTTTGTAAACAAATACGAACATGAATTATAGCATAAATAAAGACACTGATGGCGATGACAAATCAAATGTTGAGGTTTAAACAAAACAAAGATACAATTGTAGCCTATAAATATTTTATTTCTCAACAATAAACATTTGTTTATAATTTTGTTTATGTGTCTAACAACTCTAAACAAATGACATGAAAGAAACCAAACAATTTATTTCTTGTCTTCACCTGTTGCTGATGAAGACATTCAAGTCTTGACACACACACAAGGTTAATGAAGGGAGCTGCCATTTTGTTTGTTTACATTAGACAAGGGGAGAGAACCAACAGTTACATTAGACAAGGGGAGAGAACCAACAGTTACAGATGGATCAATACCACCAATCCTCCCCACTATAATTTCCTTCAGAGTTTGATCCACTGTGGGGATGTGACCACCTGTCATATCCAAGCATGTAGACCCACGCTCCACTGGAGCCAGGACATGTACATGTTGTGTATGTGAACGTGTACCAACCTTTCCCCTTATTTTGGTGTGTCCATTGTCCTACAGAGACTTGTTTAGGACAGCCATGAGGATGTGACACTATAACGGTCAACTTGTCCACATTAAATGTCGAGTGTTTGTTCTGTACTTTCACACGTAGACACTCGAATTGCCGCAACAAATTGTCTAGTTCATCAACCAACTCTAAGTCACATGACACACATGTAAACCTACACCAGTCTCCCTCAATATTTAGCCTCCTCACCTCCCAGCCATCAAGACTGACCCCAGGACTTTTATTGTCATCCAAACCCACAACACACTTGGTCTGTCTCGCCTCACTGTCATCAAACACCACGTGTGTGGCTGTCCTCACCCAAACCTCCCCCCACACTTTGCTGGGTGTGTCCGAGTGTTGACACTTGCCACATGGACAAGTGCCCTTGTTGTCACTCTCTGTGTACCTGTCCACACGACTCACCCTCCCCGTCCCTGTCCTCAACACGTCACTTCCTCTGGTGTTATAAAATGGATACCGACCACTGAAGCATGGAACTGACTTTGGTCTCGCTAGACTGGTGTACTTGACCTTTATCAGGACCGTTAGGGCAGACAAAGCTTTGATTTGCTCCAACATGATGACGTCACGGTAAAGTGAGGGGAGATGATCCAAGTTAAAATCATTAACAGGTATAAAGTTGACATGACCTGGATTCTTCTTACAGCTGGTATAGTGCTTGTGTAAGTCAGCTTCACCTCCATAGCAGATCTCACATTCATGATGTCCTGGAGATATACAAGGGGAGAAAGTTCACAACATTAACATTTAATCTATAATAAAACAATTCAAAGTATAACACATTATTTTTAAAAATTTTCTTAACAAAAGCTGGCATTTTCGATTATTACATTTTATCTACACCTTTCATATAAACAGAAACTAACCTGGAATGAAACCTTCTTTAGTTTCAATTTCCTCCATCTTTGTTGGCAGATTTTGGTAGTATGTTCCTCCTATATAATTACATTCATATAATTGGCATTTTAAGATTTTAGACTTTATGAACAGTTACAGACTTAAAAACTATACTTAATATTTAGAAGTAAATATAAAACTGCTGGCGCAGTTATGCTTAAAATGTCTTTAGATAATTTTACCATGCACAATTTATGTAATAAAAACTGATTTTACCTTGAAGTCACAAAACGTGATTTTATTTAAAGTGATAACTTTATTTCTTTTTTTAACTGTATCTCTAAACTTAGTTTAATATAGCATTATGCTTTCTGTAAGTATCGTTTAATAAACCGGGAGCGATCTCCCCTAAACTTCCTCGAATATTCTTATATAAAAAAACAAGGGATGGGAACTCGGGATATAGACATGAATTATAATCCATTTTAAATACTGAAACTTTTAAAAATAGAATAACATCTAGTAGAAAAAAGAATTGCACACATGTGAACGCCAAATAAAATGTGAATAATAGTGCGGAATATTATTAGTACTTTATAAATTTACATTCGTTTTTTTTTGAGAAATCGAAAATAGCGTAAATTACTACTTCCAGTCAACGGAAATTACTCAACATTTGGCAGAAGGTAGGGAGCTAGATCTTTTACTCACAAGTGAAATTTCATTTATCTATATGAAATAGTCGGCCTACTCAAATTATGGGCTTTTAAAAAATTAAAGTAAAAAAGTACCACTTCCGGTTATCGGAAATCGCTCAAAAATTAATACGGATCTACGATTTTGATATAATACATATATATGAAATTTCATCAACCTAGCTGTAACGGTACTCAAGTTATCTTGTTTACACACATACACACAGACAGACACACATACGGACAAAATTGCAAAGTCCAGTTTTTCCGACTCGATAACACATAAAACACCAAAATGTTTAAATATTTGTATTTATAATTTTTGCCTGATTAAAATAAGTTCTCTATTCTCCGGATGTGATGAAGGACTGAGGTGTAAAACGGTGAAAACTGTCAAAATTTCATGTTATTTTTATGCAACATTACAAGACTTTCTCTATACTTCGTATATACGAGAAAGTAAAAATGTACATAAATACACAGTAAAGCAATGTAGGTCTTTTGTGAAAACATTAATCGAATATTTATGCTTAGAGTTAAAGTGAAGAGATTATCACTAGTGTTGACAGATGATTTACAGGACAATAGTGAATACAATGATGTTCGCGTGATTATTATTTAGTGGAAATAATTCTAAGGCAAGAAACCAACCAACTGAGACCATCAGTTTACCTTCGTTGATATGTTGATCTAACGTGTATGCAGTACTTAATCTTGTTATCTCTTTTTTATTGGTAACCTTTATAAAATTGTAATTACTAATCTAGTTTCTAATTACATTAAATATTGTTACATTGTCAACTGAAAACAAATATCCCTGCTTTGGATATGAATTAAAATTGAATAAAGACTTGTCAGAATCCGACAATTCCACAGAGAAGCAAAAAAAAAATATATATATATACATAAATAAACAGACGTCCATTTAAACTAAACAAAAAATGTAGGCGTAATATTATGATTAGCAAAAACATTACTTCAAGTAACTTTGACCTAACAAATAGTTAAACTCACCTGCAAAGATTGATTCAAGTAAAGTTAATGAATATAATACAATTACTAACTTTATAACTTTATAGCAGGTGTAGTGTTTGAGAAAATTTTAAACAGCAGAAGTTAGTCAACTAGTGAAAGTAAATATAACACACACACTTATGATCATTTATGGTTGGCATATGTTGCTGTGTTAGCCAGATCTTTGCCAAAACTTTATGTAAAGTTTAACGGGAATTTTTTTGACTTGCTTAATTTAGAGAAGGGCCTACTTAACGCTCTACAAGCCACTATTAAAGATTTGAAATCGATAAATCAATCTGGTAGGGTAAGTTACGACCTAGACTTAGACCTCCGTCAACACTATTTTTATATTGCCAGATTTATTTTTCATTTTAAAATATCTTCTGTCAAAATCTCGCTATGTTGGCCAGGAACATTTTCAAATTTAATTTAACAGGCGACGATGAGAGAATAATCCGCATTACGATTGAGTATAAAAATATGTCAAGTTTTCGAATTATAAACCCTCTCAGTGTCAGAGAGCGAGATCGACAAAAACCACGGAAAATCATGAAGAGTCGCTCACACAGTCCTTCCTATGGTCAGGTAATCTACTTCCATACAAAGTTCATGATGGATACAATTTAGATACAAAATACAAAAAGTGTACAGTCTGTTACAATCACATAGAAACAGCACATAGAAACACATAGAAACATGACATAGAATCATTACATTGAACCATCTGATATAACGTCTTAAATAACATCACATCTAACATCTCATATAACAAGTCATATAACATCTCATGCTGGTATCGGGTTGGCCACCCACAGTGATGATGTGAGTTGTGCGACATTACGAACTGTAAATAATGTTTATTGATGTCATGTGGCGTCTGTGTATGTGTGATAGTGAACTCAGTCAACCAGTTACATTGTATTTATTATTTTGCTTTTTGCAATTGATTGAAAAGAAACTGCTGACCTTGAAATTACTATTTTTCAGTTGAATTGACCAAAGTCTTCTGGTTAATAAAGGTCCAGGCAAGTATAACTTCCATGTCTACATGACAAACCTATGGTGTACGGGGCGTCCCGATAACATTGTACCTAAATATAGCTCTATAGACACGTTGTACAAAGTCTAAACTAATCGATACGATAAACGTGAACGCTAGAGCTAAGGGCCAAGTTACATTTACAGCAACCCTTCCCAGTTTAGTGCTTATTAGATCACTCTAGTTTTCAAATGTATAAGCACTTGTTTATGGAGATATATGGGTCTCTATCACTGATGCCATTTGTCTGATTGTAAAATCAATCTATCTTTATATATAATTCTCTTCTTGGAGACGCTAGAAAACACCAAGCTGTAAGCGCGCTCCCTACCACCCCACCCCAACATGGTCTGGTGAGCTGTGGTTCACGCTAAATGTTTACAATCGTAGAGCCGGTTTTAGGGAAAAAATAACGTTAAACAAACTTGACGTTATTTATGGAAGACCCCCGAAACACACGGTTACTCAAGAATAACGGGTAGTCTAGTTTCTTTTAAAAAGCGAAGCAGATCTATATTCAAATTAAATGCTAAATACATAATTAACTATCGCGATACTTAATCTTTAGGTAGACATGATAATATGGTAAATAGATTAAACGACATTTTGAAGGCGTCCAGTTTAGGATTTAACATCTGCATAAAGGCCGAGATAAGGCGACACGTTGCTCCAAGTAACCGTTGATCTATGAAATAACACACTTCAATACTTAATCTCAAAATCTGGTTAATGAATAATCGTCAATATTTTCTTGTGATCTGGTGTGTGAGAAAGTTTGAGATGTCACTTATTAATTAATTACTGAAGCTAATTAGAGTACGGTGTATTGCAATGACTATATCAACATTGACGTGTGCCAGATTGTTTAGGGTTTGTTAATTTTTCAAAAGAACGTTACGCTCTAAATTACATATACAAAGACAATCATTAAAATATGGTTGTAGCGTCGTGTTACTGCTGGTCCAACTTTCTGACATTATAGCACACTAAAAACGGTGTGTCACGCGAGAAATCCTAAAAATATCTAGAAATGTGTGTGTTTTTTGACTTGTTTGTGTCTTGATGTGTTTATCTCTGTAAATAGGGATTTTAGTTTTTAATGAAGATGTTTCAGAATATTTTATTGCAAATATAAAATACTATCATTTTCCGATATAAAAGATAAGGCCTGTAAACTACAGTAGGTTTCAATTTATCGGTCATCAGGTTGTGCAAGCAGTTATTAACGCAGCCAAAAAAACAACAAACTTCAAGACAGCTGCGATATTTTTCGGCTATCAATAAAACGCTGTAAACAAACCTTGATGAGAAACTGTTGATCTTATGTCGTTTAGGGAGTGCCTATGAACAGATAGATCAGCTATATTTAACTTGTCTTGAGTTTATCTGACCCCCTCCTCATCCCCACCCCAACCTCTTACATGTATATGTTACTAACAATTAACAGTAATAGCTTAGTAATTTTATTTTGGTATCTCGAATAGTTTTATGGTTCAAGAAACATTTCCAATATCCATGTCACGATCAATGAACTAAAATTAGATCGGGACTAACACGTCAGGAACAAGATTAAAATATCTGACCTAATTATTGATCTGATCAAGTATTGAACATATAAACATATGATTGCTATAAATAATGCCAACCAGATTATGAAGTTAATCTTTCAACACCGAGAAGATTTAAATAGAATGACAATATTGTGATTGCACTTTCTTTACGTTATTGTATTAGGCTTTCTAGAAAAATCATAGACCATGGTACAACATTCTGTTTCTTTTAAACCTGTGACAGTTCTGTTATATTTAGATACTATGTTAAACGGTTGAACCTTGAGTTGTAATTGTGGCTGTTGAATACATTACTTTAAGGGTCTCCCAAAACCATGTTGTCACGTGTTATGAATAGACCAATCAAATGCTGGACCTGCATCTAAAAAAATGTATTACATAATTGAAGTGCAATTACCATATGTGTAATATTTAAATATGAAAAAAATTTAGACATACACTGTTTTATCAAACGAAACAGGTCAACGTAAACTATTTAACACGCTAATTTACTACTGTTCGCAGATTTTTGTTCATAACAAACAAAATGTAACTTTTGACGATGTTTTAGAGTCGAGTTTCAGGATTGTTTAACAGTAGCCCGAGTAATGTTGTATAAAGTGACGAAGGGCTGCAAGAAACTTCCGTGATAGAAATTGTCATTTCTATTTATAACTCACATGTTTAGCTCTCCTGTCTGCGTGCCTACTACGTGGGTGTTAGGGGAAGTCCCGAAAACGTGGAATCTAAATATAGCTCTAATGTTTATCTAACTTGTGTAACT